CCTAGTAGCTGCTACACTAGACAGTACAGCTCCAGAATGTAAAAGGGGTTTTGGTGCACAAGAGAAGGACTTAACCCAGTCCTTGGAGTAAGGAAAATAATATATATAGATCTAGTCAGCCCACACTCTAGAGCAGTGGTCTCCTAACATTTTGGATTGTATACTCCTATCACTAAAAAAAAGTTTGCGTATGTACCTCCATTATATGTATATTTACTTATAAGTTATAGCTATGTCCCTGATAATATGTATACTATAAAACATATACATAAAATACATATTTTAAATTGATAAGAAAACAAATATAGAAGTTCTAGCATTTTCATTCCATATCCCAGTAAAATGTGGAGACTACTGCTGTAGAAATCAGTTAACCTATTATCCTTCTTTAACCCCATGCTAGTCACTTCCCATCTCTGCATCCTTATTAATAAGGGAAAGGGCTGGAGTAGATACACTCTAGGATCCAACCTATCCACAAAAGTCTATTGATTTTATGATCTGTTGGCAGGATCTCTTTTGCTGAAATAGTCAGAATGAAGTCCTAAGCATTTCCTATGCAAGGGGGAAATACCACCCCTACCCTCAAGAGTCCCCACTGTAAGGGGATAATTTAAGGGGTATTCCTTAGGAATTCCTGAGGGATATGCCTGCAGCCAGTCATGCTAATCAGTTCACCTCCTCAGTTGAGCAGATTATAGATATAATAATTCACTAAGTTAGATGTTATTATTATATCCATTTTCATATGAGAAAACTGAGGCCCATTTTCATATGAGAAACTTAGTTAATATCTCCTTTTGGCAAAATCACACAATTAAGAAATGCCAGAACTGGGATTTGAATCCAGACAATCTGACATCAGGGCCCATGCTTTTAATGGCCATGCTATACTACTTCCCTGTATAATACAACTTAATAAAAACTAAGGACCAAAATACTAACAAATGGTAGCAGGATTAGAATTGTAGCAAGACTTCTTAGAAGAGATAAATTACAGGCTAAGGTTTTTTTTTCTTCACTTTTTAATATGAAAAATTTCAAACATAAAGTAGAAACCTGCCTTTAACAATATGAACATTTTAAGGTTAGATTTTGGAGAGGATATAGAGATGATATTGGCAGGGAGGGAACTGCAGATGAAGTCAGTGGCCTTTGGGGAGCCTTCATGGTGGGAAGAAATAAGCCTGGTGCAGAGGGGGCTGAGAAGATAATCATTTTGGCTAGTAGGTGTATTTTCAGAAAAAGGGATACTTTATGGCTTCCTTCTGAGAATGTGGGTAAGGGTGCCAAGAGCAGCTCAAGTAAGAGGTAACTTGGTTCTCACTCCCTCTCTTCCCCAACCCAGGTTCCCTAGGCACTGCAGGCCGTGTCTGCAGCAAGACATCAAAAGGAACAGATGGTTGTGAAATCATGTGCTGTGGCCGAGGGTACGACACAACTCGAGTCACCCGTGTCACGCAGTGTGAGTGCAAATTCCACTGGTGCTGTGCTGTGCGTTGCAAGGAGTGCAGAAACACTGTGGACGTCCACACTTGCAAGGCCCCCAAGAAGGCAGAGTGGCTGGACCAGACCTGAACACATAGATACCTCACTTATCCCTCCACTTCAAGACTCCCAACTCAAAAGCACAAGATCCTTGCATGCACACCTGCCTCCACCCTCAATCCTGGGCTGCTACAGCTTCTATTTAAGGACTTGGAGAATAATCCAGAGGGACCATGGTGTCCTGACTAGTTCCTTAGCCCTGGGAAGGAGTTGACAGGGATATGAGAAACTGAACAGCTCCCTGATTTCCTCCTCTGGAGGTATGAATGGAGAGAAGAGGTAGGGGTTCTTCAGAGTGATATGAGTTGCACTAAAGTACCTAGTTGAGGCTCATTTTTCCTTTCCCTTGCACTGGCTTCCTGACACTTCTTGGGTGTGCAAGAGGAAGGGTACCTGAAGAGAGCTTCTTTCTTCTTCCTACCTGGCTGAGGTTGGATGGGACAGAGATGAAACTGCACGTCCCTTCCTTAGAGTCAGTTTGAGCAGATTGCCTGGTACCCCAAAAGAAAAACGTAGGCGACAATATTCCTTTATTATTGAGAGCCTGAGATTGCTAGACAAGAGTTAGCCAAAGTAGACAAGGTTCCATTCACATGCTCCTATGTTTATAAACTGCTGTGTTTTGTAGGGGGAAAAATCATATAACTATACAAACACACATTCGTTCATTCTCTCCCCCTACCTCCTTTCCAACCTATATCAGACAGTGTTGCCTCTTTCGCTCACTTGCTGCCCATTGAAACTGAGATGTTATGCAGTGGTTCCCATGCCTAACAGATCATTAGAACAACACCCTGGAACATTCCTGGGAGAGAGTAAATTAATAAGTCTAGCTAGGCCTTGGGATCTTTTCCCCCATGTGTTATTCTGGAGGTTAGCCAGGTTTGGGAAACACTGAGTACAAGATAGGCAACTCATGGAGGGTGGGTGAGGGTAAGCAGGCCTGTTCTCAAGGGCCCACATGAGGCACCAGTGTATAGTAGGCAGGTGGGGATCTCTGGCTTTAGTAATTCTTCAGAAGAGGACCCCAGCCTTTGCAGCTGAGAGCAGGAGCCACTGGCTGCAGTAGAAGGATAGCCGCGGCTAGGCCAAGCGGTAGACGGCTTAGAAGGCGGCCTCCCCACTTACTCAACAGAGCTTTAGTGACTCTCCAAGTCCTGGGGATTATTATTGTTCACTCTACATTTGGCTTACATAGGGAGGGTTCCTTCTGTGCTAGTACCTGTTATCTAACTAGGTATGTAGTAGTGGAGTCTCCAGAGATAGCAGATAGTAAGCTGGAGGGTAGGACATGAAGTCCCAAAAACCTTGATGTCCTATTTTTATGTGACTTGGACAGTGATTATCTCTTGGCTGTTGATATTTTAAAGTAGCAGAATGGTGTAGAAATTTGCAGTTATGATAGACCTGGCTTAAAATCAATCATAGCTGTGCTGCTTGTTTTTGATATTTTGGAGCAAGATATCTAAATTCTTCGAGCCTCTATTTTCTCATCTGTAAAATGATGACATATACCTATCTCAGATACTGAGTTTTAATTATGCCCCAAACTCCAGCCAACAGATACTCTTCACCAAAGTCTGACTATCCTAGCCCATTATGACTTCTCTAGGAACCTTCAATTTAGGACTATAAAGTATTGACAGGCTGTAGATTAAGGGGCCTACATAAGCAATTCTGGATGTAAGCCCCCTTTCATTTCCCAAGTTCCTCTCCAATGTCCCTTGGGTCCTCATATGTTTGTGAAGCAGCTTCACTCTGCACAGGCAGCAGGAGGTTGGGGGAGCCATAGCTCTGGGCCACGGGAGCAGATTTATTTGGATGATAGGACTAATATTTGTGTAACCTGCTGAGACCTGTGTGGGAGAGTCTAGGGTGGTTTTTCTTTTGGTGAGGGGATTTGCTCCGGTTTCACAACCATTAACACAAAACATGAGCTAGTCAGGGCCCTTGTGGTCTGCGGTGTAGGGGATGCCTGTGGAGAAATGAGACTGAGTGAGTCAGACCAGGGGAATGTCTTCCTTGCAGAGTGGGGTCAACTGGTTAACTGATGAGCCAAAGGTAGGATTAGGGAGGGGGGAATGGGAGGGGAAAAGAAGAGCTTCTGACATCTTGAGCTGGGATTAAGAGGAGGAAAGCATTGGGGTAGTGGGGAGGTAAGGGGGTCATGGTCAGTCTGCACTCAAGAATAGGGTTGAATGCATTTACAAAAGGGTGCTGCCTTGTATGCCGGGTTGCTGGGAAGAGCCTCAGGTCCCCACCAGCCCCGGCTCTCACAAGAACATCCAGGTTACCACATAAGTGATGGCATAAGCCTTCCATGGGAAATCAACCCAAGTTAAATCTACCTGTGCCCTATTATCTATTCTTTGGTTTTTGGTTCTCACCCTGTGGAAGGAAGTGGGCTTCTTCTGGCATCTCATACTGCTCTATGCTTTTCCCTGGGCTCCAACTGTAGCTCATAAAATGCAAGTCTTACAATTGCCTATAAATGGTTAAAAGCAATCCGTCCAGAGAGTGAGAAGTTTGAAAATTGAGGTAGATAAGCAAGAGAAAGGATGTCCATTTGAGTCCCACTACAGAGGCTATGTGGCCCCAAGAAGGAATCATGGCCAAGCAGTTAATTTTTCCTCTTAGTCCTTAGATTGCTTGTGCATTCCGACTGGCTTTAGGTAACTGGCGTCCATTCTGCACTATACAAACAGAAACTAATTTATTTGGAACAAGCAGCAAAATGAGAACTTTATTTGGTGCAGTCAGGGCTCCATTTAGTTCCTTCATGCTGCTTCTAATCGCCCTCTCTCCCATCCCTCCTCTATTTCATAGAGGTCTGTCTCTCACATCAGCAGTGTCTTAGGCCCTTTCCTCTCTTCTACTCCTTCCTGTTGGTACTCATTTCTTCTAACTTTTAATAAATATTTAAGTATAATGTATTGCAGTAAGTGCTATTTAGATACAAAGTTTACTTAAAAGATACTATCTCTATCCCTTAAGGATCTTATTATAGAATCCTTTAGAGAAGGCACATGACTGAAGTACCTCAGCTGCACAGCCTGTAGCCAGTTTTTCTTACGTAAAAGTAAAAATGCCCGCTTTGACCTAGCTCTGCAGATAAGAACCAACTTTTATTATTACTACCCTGAATAATGGCTCTAATCCACACTCTTCCTTAGAGTGATGCTGGAAAAATGAAATCAGGGACTTTAGATTAATTAAGAGGATCAAACACTGCCTGGCCCTGAGGGTCAGTTTGTAAAATGTCTTGCAGATCTAACTCACTGCCTCATTTTTATTCCTCCCTTTTGCAAAGAGTAATTTCTTCTCCTTTCCTTTACTTCCCTTATCAAGAACACCAACCACTAAGTCTCTGCCAAATTCTCAGACCCAGTCAGGACAGGAGTCTTTACATTTCTTAATGGAAAAGAGATAACAAAAAGGCTGAGGATTTTTTCCCTTGGCCTTTCTGAGGTTTTTATTTAAATGCTCTCAGTGGTCGTAGGGCAGAAGCCCAGGCTAGCTGGGGAGAAGGGAGGACGCCAGGGAGAGTATGTTTCTCATCCCTGGGAGGCATTCAGCCTAGCTCCTGCAGCCAAATTACAGCACCAGAGAACAATGTGATGCATTCCTGGGCAGGTCGGTGGGACCCTGGGCGCCTGGGCCTTCTGGAGAGAGGTGCCAGACACAGAGCTCTCCGTAAGCAATCCTGCAGAGCCGCCCCCTGGGTGCAGAAATGAAATACGGGAGAGCTTCACATTACACAGAGACCTGTACCTCACACCTGGTTATTGATGGCCTTGGTGAAGGCCTCTGCCCCCACCCTCCGCTTGGGAACTGCCTGCTACTACGGGGGTTGGGCATCTTTGAAGCAATGTTGGAAAACAAGAAAGAGTTGCTTCCTTTTCACTCTCTGCCTTCCTTGTCAGCCTGAGCACACCCATGAGGTTACACACACACATGAGGTGCACGTATATGGACCCACGCATAGCTTCCCTCAGGCTGCACAGGAGTTCTAGTCATTCCCCTCTCCCCAACAATTAGAAAAAAAGCAACTAGATTTCAATCCAGTCCTTCAAAAAGCATACCAACAGAGTCCAGCTATAACCAAGGAATATCACAAAGTTACATCAGCAACATGCAGGCAACTGTTTGGTTTGGGAGATAGTGGGGGAAGGATGCAGAAAGGGCATGGAGAGAAGAGATCAATGGTGGAGAATTACCATCTAAGCAGAGTGTCCGAGACTGTACAACTTCTCAAAGCTGGTTCATGCTGTAGACAGTGAGATGTGCGCCCTGTATGCTGTGAATGCTGGGGCAGTCTCCTATGACTACATGAGATATAATTGCCAAGCTTGCTGCTCATGACCTGTTGTTTTTGACTCTTACTGGGTTAAAAAACAGGATAGCTTTGAATTCCAGGGATGATCTCCTTAAGAGAGGCACTGGAAGAGAGTAAGTAATGGCTTTATTAGAGTAACTACGTCACATTTGCTCCATTGAACTGAGCCTTCCCAGAAGCTATTATTCTTTTTGGGTGGGCAAGTTTCAGGCAATAGCTAGTGGTATGTCTGTAATATGACCCCAAAGGTAACAGGAATAGAAAAGAGAGTTTATAAGCTCATCTTCCCATTTCCCACTTATGGCTTAAATTATCTCTGAGCATCTTTGTGGCTATTCTTCATTTACTTAAGATGTTTTAGTCATCCTAGATTAAGAACGCAAAGTAAGCATTCTCCCTTTGGCCCCCTATTTTTGAAATATTCTGGTTTTAAAATTACACTTTCTCATGGATAGAGCAGCCAGACATGGGAGTTCTCTCTCTGACCAAAAAAGCCAAAATCTGGTGACTTTACTTCAATTTCACCAGCCCCATAAGCAGCCCTGGCCAAACAGAAAGGCTAAGCTGAATGAAGAAAAAAAGGAAGACAATTTCATCTACAGTTGTCCTATTTGACAAGGTGGGGCTTCCCCAAGAATAACAATAGCAGTCATAAAAAGCTTTTTCATTTACAAAATGCTTTAGCATATATGTAATCCTCATAACAACCCTTTCAGGTAGAGGTTACTGTCACGTTACAGATGTGGTTTAGTGATTTGCCCAAGGTCACATGGACAGTGAGTGGCTCAGCCAGAACTCAAACCTAGGTCTTCTGACTTCAAATCCTGTGTACTCTCCTCGAAGCCTGAGGATGCCCAGGGTTGGGGGTGCCAGAGACCCAGCACCTTCAAAACAAAAATTGATACAAAATATTCAAGCCCTATAGAAGTCCTAGGACTGCCAGGAGAATACATTAAAGCAGAGTTTACAAAGGAATAGCCACCCTAGGCCTTCTGCACCTCATCAACAAATCCCCTTTTGACCATTTCTGCCACTATCCCCACTGCCACCATGCGATCACTATACCTAGTATTCCACATTTAAACAACTCTGGCTCTTAGTTCTGTTTTTTTCCCCCTCTTCAGATTAACATTAAAAATTTTGTTTTAATTTTATCTAGTTCTTTTAAAATGATGTTAAATGTGTAGACAGAGTAGAAGTAGTCATGAGAAACCAGGAGAGGAAATTATTAAGGGTTTGGGCTTTTTACAAGTATTTATTAGAATTTCCTTTGAGTCAAAATGCTGTCAACTCCTGGGTTAGGAAAGTAAGAACAGGGAATGAGCATGCTAAGAAACCATCCTATTCTAATCCTGATGTTTACCCATGGCCCAGTAGAAGCCAGAATCCTTGGACCTTAGGTGAGACTAGCAATTCATCTACACCAAGTCAAGGAGTATCTACCCTGCAGAGAAACCCCTGTGAGAGGAGGCAGACAACAGATTTTCACTTGATCACAAACTTTTGCAGCTCTCAACCCCTCTTCCCACCCTCATTCAAAATCTAGACTTCTGTTTAGGTGCAAGACATTAAGAAAACACAGCTCCAAGAGATGATGTGTGCAAGGGGAACCCTTCCCTGTTCAATCCTGGAGTGCATTCCATTAGAGACAGCATAGGCCCTTGCATACCCTGCCTATCCCACTCCTGCACCCCAACTGTGAAGGCAGAAGGGAAAACTGCAGGAACACAATGTTCATCAATCATAGACCTGGGATGCTATATAGCTCCCTGACCTGGGCCCCTGCTTGAGCTAGGGGAAGAATACCTCAGGAAAAGTCTACCTATAGTCAGGACTTCTCTCAGAGCAAACCTTACTTTTTGGTCCATCCATCTTGGCTCTCACTGCTCTCCCTGCTTCCCACCCCCACTGCCTCCACATGTGGGCTCAGAAGTCATCATCTAAAGAATTCCATTGCTCACCTCCTGCATAGCAGCACAGCCCCATGAGGCCACACACCAGATGGAGGGGATAAAAGTACGAGGTCATGGCTTCTAGCAAGAGGCTTTTTCTTAAACTAACCCTGACTTCTGGAAAAGAGGCAGAGCAGGAGAATGTCGAGTGAGCTGCCGATGACAATAGCTTCATAGGTCTTGTGTAAAAAGGAAGGAAAAAGCTAACATGGCTTTCAGTGGAAATTTCCCTACTCTTATCTCCAGGTATATTCCTGGTCTCACATCTACTTCTTGAAGGTGTCTGAGTAGAATGCAGAGATTGTCAAACCAGAGGGTTAAATCCTTCTCAGTTGTAGGGGTCTGTTCAAAAGGCTGCCACACACACGCTGAGGTGGAGGCCAAGCCCTGACCACATGCCCTATTTCTCTAGGAATGTAACTATGAAGTAAAGGGAAATGGGATGGAAGGTAGACTAGAACTCTGGGGAAATTGTAAAGGTCATCAGTAGGCCTTCAGAATGTTTGTGTATAATAAATAAAGAGAAGGGGATGGAGGAAGATCATTATTCCTAGAATCATTATGCTTGTTTGGTGACAGTGTACACAAGCAACAATTACAATGTAAACAGTTTAATGAAGTGGGAAACAGAAGTCTTAGAATAAAGGAATTAGGTAAATAAGATTAATTAGAGATGGTTTTCTACAGGAGGTGACTTTTGAGGTGGATTTTTAAAAGATAATGCATGAACCGGTTGAGGGCAGTCAGGGGAGGGCATTTTAAATAGAAGGAACTGGTATGTGCTGAAACTAGAAGAATGTACAAGCAATATATAAGGAAGTTCAAGCAAGTACATGTTATATACACTGGGGAATACAGAGAAATTAGAATTCTGAGGTCAGGACTTAAATAATGTGAGGTGACCGTATGCACCTAGACTGTCAAATGGTGCAGGGTCCCCTATGGAGCCACACAGTATCTTGATCTCTATCAGTAAACACCAGTGTACCTATGGAAAAGCACAAGGATGAGTCCAGTTGTTACAGATACAGGAACTAAAAGAGATCTACACTGTAAAATTCAACAAAATACTACACATCATTAACGACAGCTCCTTATCATTTGAGATTCTGGACTAAGTAAGGGATATCAAATATCCTCTCCGGAACTGTAATGCATTAATGTAGGCTTACAGGCCCAGAATCTGGCATAAATCAAGCCAAACCCTTAAGAAATTAGAATGTGAAAGGGGAGTAATTTAAAATAGAAAACACAGGCTTCTTTCCTTCACTTCCATAAAACTTGACTGGTCCCCCCTCTGTTCTATTTGGTGTATTGGACTTCTGTGGCTAGCAGATTCACCATATCTGAGACAACAGTGAATAGGAGAAGAGCTGCAAAAGACCTTAAAGACACTGCAACACAAGTTCACTAATAAACAAGGAGATAATTCTAGTATACTACAGGGAGCAGCAGCCAAAGAAGGAGACAAATTCTGATTTCATGATCTCCAGTTAGGTGCCTGGTTTCTTGCATTTGCTAAAGGTAAAAACAGCAATTTACTGGGCTTCTCCCATACTTCTTAACCAGACTTCCCTAACTTCTGAGGATAAAAACCACAAGGACAATCCTGTTCTTCCGGAGCAGTTCTCTAGTACCACTTTCAGAAAAAGAATATTGGATTGTGGGTCTGATCCAGTGTAGTATATATGTTTGTTTTATCACATTGAATAAGCCAAAAGGTGACCAGTGTTCTAGGTTGCTGCTTTGCTTAACTGGCACGATTTGGTGCTGGAAGGGAGGTAGCCACTACACAGTGATAGCATTAGTAAGTATCATCTTAGTTTTCCCTTCTCCCCTAGGCAGTTTATAAAAGGCGATTTCTGAAACCCTTCACAAAAGAAAAGCTCAAGGGTTTACATTCAACTATGACAGCACTATGAATTCATTAAGAAGCATGTTTCAGGTTGCACTATAATTTCCCTATGTAACATAAACCCATGGAATCTGACATAAGCTGATTGCTCATGCTGGTTATTTTATTTACATTTCTGAATGGAAGGGATTTCAATACTCATAAAATATCTAACTGACTTATTATTTTTCATCTGTTCTCCCAGAGCAGCTATTATAGAATAGGCATAGAGACCAGAAGTCTCAACTTGTATGACTAGTTAAGCAACAAGGGAAAAGTTATTGCTCAAAAAGCAATTTAAAAAATTCAATATAGAACTTGAGGCCAAAAAAGAGATATGGTTACTCTCAATGCCATCTGAAAGATAAAAGTTAAAAAGAAAAAAAAGATAAAGTAACTGTTCATTATCTTCATCCAAGTCATATAGCAGTAGATGATAACTTTCAGGAACTCAGTGGAGCTGGAGTTTACATCTATCTCTGGGGACCTGATGTTAGCAGACACAGTCACTTGTATGAAGAGGAATGCAGGCAAATGGATCAGAGTGGGCTCCCTACCATCCAGAAATATGAATGTGCCTCCTTACCAATGTGCTACAAATTAGACCTCTGAATTAGAAGGTGCCATCATGAATCTAACTCACCATCCAGAGATGTATATTTTGTTCACCTACCCCAAAGAATAATAATTTCTGCTTATTCCACTAGGTCTGACAAGCTCAGATAGATTGCTAGAGAAGTAATAGTCACCAATAAAGTAAATTCCAAAGTCTGATCCCTAGTCTTCTGCCTCCAACTCATTGTTCAAATAGTCTTACTTCCTTTCTTCTGCTGCATCGCTGAGTTACAACAGTATATCCTTCAACCCTCTAGTATAACCTTGGGCCTACTCTTCTACTCCATATACTTCCATCGTTTTACCGTATTTATTGATTACATGCCTAATTTGTATAAACTCAAGGACAGGTTCTGTGCCTATTTCAAAATATGTATTTTAAGGTCGTATCTCCAGCGATCCAGCTAATACATATTACTTTACCACGACAGCCCAGTAAAGATAGGAAATATTTTTCAAGTTACTTGAAAATAATCTTGGTGGTTACCCCTATAAAGTGGTAGAATTGTCAAGGATGCAGAATTGATCAGCAAAATTCAGCTTGGAAGAAAGGTGAAGGAACCTTATTTTAGTGCCTTATCCCAATATCCTTTTATTTAGTTTTTAAATTAACATGATACATGCCTGTTTTCAGAATCAGTGACTGCCGGATGCAACTTTGACATTAACAAGTGAAGTCTGGGAAATTCTGGGTGGATCTTTCCTATTCTCTCTCACATGTCCACAGAGCCAAGTAATTTTGGTCCTAACTCTTACTAGTCCAGTCTGCTTCACAATGACACCACACTATTTCATTTTCAAAACCAGTATGGTCCTTAGTCCTTATTAATCTGTCATTATTAGGAATGAGAGGAAATAAAAGAAGAAGATGAAATATATGAGCATGGAGGATTTTGTCTTATGGAAATTACTGTGCAAATCTGAGGTGAGACATTTATTAAATTTTGACTTGTAGAGCTCTTCATTTTTTGATAAATTCTAAACTATTCATATAAACATTATAATAAATATTATTTATGAAAACATGAACTTCAACGGTTAGATATGAAGATGAAAGTACTTCATGTTGCATACTTGAAAAAGAATAAAATAAAAATACCTCTTTCTGTATCTTCTTGTTAGACTTAAAGGAATCCTAACCAATAAATTCTTCTGAAAGTAAGGGTACTCTGTGAGTGTCTCTCTCTCTCTCTC